GTGCTGTCCAGCTGCCCCTCCCCGAGAGGCCAAACCTCTGTGGAGGTGGGGGGGGGGATTAAAAGAAACAAAAAAAATCAGTCAAACCAGGCAACTTGGGTTGTTGGCTTTGGGACAATTCGGAGTTGGCCTGAGCTTTTCCAAAGCAGGTCCTTCCCTTCAGGACAGGGTTGGGTTGGTTTTCCTTTTCACACCTGTTTTCTTCCCAGATTTTCCTGTTGCTTTCAAGTCCTTGCCTACCTGCAGCTGCTGCTTTAGCAACCAATTCCCTGGAAGGCACGTTGTTGAGATCCATCCCTTTTCCAAGGTGACAGCCAGGATTAGCTCTGAAGGACTCCAGGGTGTTAACACCAATCACGGCACCTTTTCCTTCAGGAATTCAGCTTTATTCCGGTGGAATCCCAAACAAAAATTAGGGGAAGGCAGGTGGGGGAAGCGCTGCCCCTTGTTGTGGCTCTTCCCCGGCCGTCCCAGCTCGGAGCAGCCACTTTGCTGCCCATGCAGCAGAATTCCCTTGGGAATCGCTCTGATTCAGAGCAGAGGAATTATCTCTGCTGTCTGATGATCTCTGGGAAAGCTGCCAGGCCTGAATTTTAAAGGAAAAGGGGGTGATTTATAACCTGGGGAATAACAGACCCCCTGTTGTCCCACCACCACAGGCTGCTGAGCCCGCGGCACATTCCCTGTTCCTGGCTCTGGAACCGGCCCTTGCTGGTCAGTTTGGGGTGGGGCCCCCTCAGTGTCACCTCCCTGTCCCCCAGGGTGTGTTTTGGGGGATCTTCCACTCACTGTGGGTGACTTGGGGCATCACCCACCCTTAGCCAGTGGCTATTCCTCCGACTCCAAAGGAGCCACGGGCACCTCAGCCTTTCCCAGCAGCTGGAAAAGAACTGGGGATAAGATGTGTGGGGATGCTGCTGGTTTCTGGGAGATGTGGCTTGGTGCTGGTTTCAAGGCACCCCCCAGTTTTGGAAGCACCTCCCTCGGCTGCAGGGAGGGGAGGCAGGTTTGGCAGGAGGCTGGGAGATAGAACCGGGCGGATCCGGTGGGAATTTTTGGAAGGGTGCTTGTGCAGTGCTGGAGAGGGATCTCCAGGGGCTCCCAGGGGACACCCCCCGTGTGGTGCTGGGGATTTTGGAGCGTAGATGTGTTCCTTTTTCCTTTGGAAAAGGGTTTTGTGAGATTCCCGTTGGTCTCTTCCCGGTGCCATGTGAGCCACGTCCGTTGCCCGGAGCCAAGGAAGCAAACCCCTGGCCAGCTTTCCCTTCTTCCCCACCTTTTCCCATGCTCGAGCCTCTCCCAAGGGATCTTTGCCAACACTTTCTCTGGATCTTGCTGTCTCCCCTTTGTGATTCCAGCGCCAGAGGAAAACAGCAACTTTGCAGGAAGCTTTCAGGCTGTGTCTTAGGATCACACCTCACTTAATTCCACGGCGGCTCCTTAGGATTCTGTGAGCGAACCACTGGGTTTCCACAAGTCACATGCCTCCACTTTTCCCTCTTTTTTTTCTTCCCCCCCCCTGTTTTTTTACACGCCCACCGCTTTGCAAAAAGTGCAAAAAGAGAGGTGTTTGGAGCGAGCTTCCCTCCCCCCACCCCCCCCCACCCCCGTCCGAGGCCTGGGGCCAAATTGCCTTTGTCTGTGAGTATTCTTTGTTCTTTAAGGGCCTCCTTTGATCGCCGTGAGCCCCGTGTGTGGTATCCGAGAGCACAGACCGTGCCCGGTGCTGCCCGTGCATGTTCGGGCGTGTTGTGCTGACCCAGGCTGGGATCTCACCCAAGCAGCAGGTTTTAGTCGGGAGATTTTTTTGGGGATGGGAGCCCCGCGGGACCCCCCGGGCCTGGCACCCCCTCCCCGCACAGGGGATGGGTCAGCAGGGCCCGGCCCATCGCGGAGGGGGGGTTTGCTTTGCTGGCAGTTTGTCTCCCCAACCCTCTTCTCCTGCTCTGGCATCACCAGTTCCTCCTCCCTGAAATCCCTGTGGACCTTGTGCTTTGTGGATTGGGGGATCCAGAGCCACCCCTCCATCCCTGGGGCTGCAGCTTCCCAGTGTCCTGGCCCTGGAGAAGGTGGCCAAGGGCAGGATGTTCCCCTCCCTGTCCCAGGAGCCATGTGGCAGCTGGCACATGTGGATGCCACACTTCCAGGTCCCCTCTTCCCTTAAAACCAGTTCCCGAGGGGGTGAGGAGCAGCGATGGGGCTCTGGGTGCTAATTACCCCCTCAATTAATGGCCCCTGTCCGTGCTGGCATCCCGGTGGGAACGCAGAGCTTTCCCTGCCCCAGCACTGAGATCCCCCTCCCCTCTTCTGGGGGAAGAGGGTGACGACAACCTCGGAGCAGAACTCCCTGCCCTGACTCCCCCACCACGGCAAACCAAAAAAGAATCCCTAAAACCCCCCAAATTCCCCTGTTCCCCTTCCCCCAAACGTGGCCCCTCAGAGCTGTGCACGTCCCAAGACCCCTCATCTCAGAGCTCCTGCCCGTCCCTTCCCCTCCCCGGCTGCCACCTGGAGCTTGGACAACCGGGATTCTGGGAAGCCCACCGGCCTTGGGGGAGCCCCCACCTCCCCGGGGGAGCCCCCAAATCCAGGGAAGCCCCCACGTCCCCACAGCCTGGGTTTTTTTGCATGTTCTAGCAAGGTGCATGTCCAAGGAGGGGAGTCGGCAACGGGGCGGGTGGTGGGTTGAGTTCAGGCTTAATTTTATTTTTGGGATTGGGAGAACCTCTCTGGCTGCCTCTGGCACAGATCCCACCTGGCCAGGTGAGCTGGGGTGGGATGCAGATCCCACCAACCTCGGCCAGGGAGGACCTGAAGCCCCACAGGGGGTGCAGTGATGGTGATTTTGGGGTTCTCAGTGCTGAAGGATCATATGCCCGTTGCCTGGAGACTGCCTCCTTTTTAATTTTTAATTTTTATTTCTTGCTTTTATTTTAATTTTTTTTTTTTTAGTTCTGTTGAAAGGAGAAAAAAAATGGTGAAAATGTTATTTATTGGCAGAAATTATTTAATATAATTTCTTTTTTTTTTTTTTGTGAAACAAGGAATGAATTTGTTAGAACTGTCTCGATGTAAATCGGAGTCATCTTTAAGGAGGAAAAAAAAAGAAAAAAAAAGATAAAAATTGACACAGTCACTGGGCTCCACTGTGGTTTTTTTGAGGGGAGTGAAGGGGGTGTTTCTCCTGGGGTGCTGAGCACCCCGTGGGTGCTTCCAGGAGGAAGGATTTGGGGGCTTTTCCAGCCTCTCCAGGGTTGGGGCAGTGCCCAGACGGCGTCTCCCAGCCTCTGGCACGTCGGCACACGCGGAGTGGCGGCTCCGGGGTGGGTTTGGAGAGCTCTCAGCTCCTGCTCCTCGTCCTCCCCTGGGTAAATAACCCTCCTGCCGCTGCCAGGAGGAAGAGGAGGGGATGTGCCAGCTCTTGTTTCACACCCGGCTCCTTCCTCAGCGCTTTTGGGAGGTGCTCCCTCCACACCCAGGGATTTCAGGGAGCAGCTCTGGGATTTATCCGGGTGGGTCACAGCTCCCACACCGGGCTGGCTCCTGCCTGGGGATCCCCATCCTGGGCCTGGGACAGGAGGTGGCTCCTGCTGCCATCCCAGCTCCTTCCCTGCTTGGGAAGCTGATGTTCCTCCCAGCTGTGCCTCCCAGCTGTGGCTGCCACATCTGGGATCCATCCCTCTCCCACAACACTCAGGATCAGCTCTGGAGGACTCCAGAGCCTTGTGCCAATCCCAGCACCTTTTCCCGCGGGAATTCGGCCTCGAGCCCAGCTCACCACGTGCTCCCTGTTCCCCACCTGTTCTCCTGACGGAATTCCCGCTGCCCAGCCTCCGGATGCACCCAGGGCGGGACCGGGAAAGGATGCTCCGGCTCTCCCACCCTTTTCCTGGGTGTTCCCACCCAACTTGGGGGGGCCACCGACACCCTGCCCCGCACCCGGCATCGCCCCCAGACCGCGGGCTCGGCCCCGGGAGGGCTCCGGCCGCCGCCCGGCACCTCCCCGAGCACGGGAGCATCCCCGGGAGCATCCCCGGGGCCGGCCGCGCGCTCCCGGCTGGCATCGCCGCGCTGAGCAAACAGGAAACACTCGCCCTTTGTTAATCCCGGCCCGGGCTGCGCGTTAAATATTTATCTGCGAGCGGAGGCTGGTGCCGGAGCCGCGGGGAGGGAGGGACCGAGGCAGGGCCGGCGCTGGAGGCTCCTCGCCGGCCACGGGGACGAGGAGGTGGGGAGGTGAGGAGGTGAGCCGGGGCTCGGGCGGGGGTCGTTGGCACCCCGGGGTGGGCTGCGGCGGCTGGGGGGCTGCGACCTCCGGAGATGTCACTCGGTGGGCTGGAGGGGACCTGGAGGTGACACGGGGGGGATGGTCACCCCCCGGCAGCGGGGATGGGCTCTGGGGTCCTCTCGCGGGGTTTAGCCCCCCCCGTGGGTGCCCCCGGCTTCGCCTCAGCCCTGCTGCCCTCCCTGCCCTTGTCACCCCGAGTTTTTCCAGCGGGATCAGCCCCTGTCCCCAACCCGCGTCCTCCCCGCGGTGTCACCAGCTGGCACCAGGGAGCTGCCCCGTTCCCATGGCATTCCGGTGGGAGCCGTGTCCCCCAGGGCTGTGGCAGTGGGGAGGACACCCGCCCCTGTCCCCTGTGTCCCATGTGTCCCTGATGTCCCTGATGTCCCCGGTGCATCCCGGGAGCAGCATCACAGCCAGACAGGGCTCCTGCCATCGTGCCCCTCACCCCCAGCGGCAGGGGCCGGGTGCTTGGTGGGGACCGAGGAGTGGCAGCGAAGCCACCATCCCCCCGGGAGCTCACGTGGGACCTCACGGGACAGAGGAAGGGCCGGGGCGGCCCCGTTCCGGGGGTGTCAGCAGTTCTGGGGGAGCAGGAAGTGACCAGAGGGTGAGTGGTGGGTGCGGGCGCTGCCGGAGGGGGTGAGTGGGATGTGGGGCACTCACAGAGTGGGGCACGGGGGTGTTACACGGGGGTCCTCAGTGCCCAGATTCCTTAGGGATGGAGGGATGGAGCGGGTGGAGGAACACCCGAGGGAAAACGAGGGGCAGCGAGGATGGGGACTTTTCTCCCACCATATCCCCCATCCTGGGGCTTGGGAGGCCACAGGAGCACAGACCCCACTCCCCACCTCTGTCCTGACCTCCAGCCAGCACTTCCCTCCCCGTCCTCTCCCAAAATTCCCCCCCAGATCCCTGTCTCCATCTCAGAGGGGGGCTGGTGATGGCAGAAGGGGTGAGGTGGGATACGGAGCACCCACAGAGCAGGGCATGGGAGCGTTTCAAGGGGGTCTCCAGTGCCCAGAGGGATCTGGAGGGGATGATCACCCATGTGGAAGTGGGTGACAGTGGGGATGGGGGCTCTGCTCTCACTGGGGGGCTTGGGAGGCCACGGGAGCACAGACCCCAACCCCCACCTCAGTCCTGACCTCCACCCAGCACCTCCCTCCCCATCCTCTCCCAGAAATCCCCCCCAGTTCCCGTCTCCCTCTCGGCGGGGGGCCGGCGGCGCCGGGCTCGCCCCCGTTTCGTAAGCGGGGGGCCGGGTGCGCGGGAACGCGTGCGCGGGGCGTGGGATGAGTTCAGCCTCCTGGCTCCATTCCCTGGATCTCATCCCTGGAAATGTCACTGGAAACTCTGAATGGGCCGGCCCCGCTCGGGGGGGACGGAGCAGCGCACCCCGGGGGGGGCCGGGGCACACGGGGACCCAACGCCGGGGAGGACGGTGGCTCCTGACCCACCCGGGGGATGCTCGGAGGAGGAGGGGGCTGTCCCTGCCAGCCCCCCGCGATGCGCTGAGCACCCCCCTCCCAGCTCCTTCTCCCGGCAAAGTTCGTGCCGTGGATTTCTCTTCCCTGCCTCTCGCAGCTCCGTCCCGCTCGCCCCGGGGCTCCCCAAAACCCCGGCGCTCCCCGGGGGTCCCCGCCGGCACCACCCAGGAGGTAAGAGCTGGCTGGGGAGGGGGCGGCGAGGAGGGGACCCCCGGGGCCAGGTTTTGGGGCAGGATGGGGCCGAGCCCCGTGTGGGAGCTGTGCTGGGAATGGGGTGGAGGTTGTTGGGGTGTCCTGGGGGGTGGGAGTCTGCACCCCACTTTCTGTCCCCTGAGGCACATCATTCCCAGCACCTGTTTCCCTCCGAGGAGGGAGGTGATTAACATTAATTACACCCTTGGGGTTGCGAGGACACCGGCGGTGTGGGGAGCAAGGAGCTGAGGGGTCCCCAGCCCGAGCTGAGGGTCCCACACGCACAGGGCACCGTGCCGGGCTGGCACCCCCCCGGCAGCCCCCCAGGCTGTTTGAGGGGGGTCTGGCCGTGGTGGGCACCTGTGAGCGCTGGGGTGATGACTGATATGGGGATGAGCCAGGGCACAGGTGACTCGCCCCGTCCCGGGGCTGCGCTCGCCCCTGGAGCCATCCTGGTGCCAGGAGCCGCGCCGGGGGTCCCGGCCCCCCCAGCCGCCCCCCATCCCATCCCGTGCCGTGGTGAGTCACTGCACTGCCCTCCCGGCGGGCGGTGCCGGGGCCCGGCCGCGCGTTCCCGACGCCTCGTCCCTCTCCGTCCCCTCTCCCTCCCTGTTTGCGCTGCAGGGCGGGGGAAATATTTCTGCCCTGTCGTGTTTCCCGGCCCTGGCAGCTCTCCCGGGCGGGCGACGCTGCTGCCGCCACGTGCCCGGGCGGGAGGGCACCGCGCCGGAATGCCAAGGTGATGGGAACACGGCACAGCCATCGCCCCGACCCGCTCTGGGCGTGTTCTCCCCGAAGAGAAAGCGGGGCTGGATCCATCCCTGCAGAGCCGGGGTGGGGACAGGGGAGGGAAGGGGTCTGGATCCGCATGGAGAACACGTTGGGGAGCCCTGCCAGGGCTGGTTCCAACCGGGAACAGCTGCTTCCCGTGGCACTGTGAGACTCCCTGAGCTGGGGACGGTGCCACCGCGGTTGTCACCCCACTGTGGTGGTTGTCACCCTCCTGGCCGTGGGGATGGAGCTGGGATGGAGCTGCCAGCTGTCCAGCCAAGCCTGAGGGTGTCCAAAAGAACAGGGACATGGGCCCCCCCCATGAGCAAAGCCACTTTCCTCACAGGACACGGGCAGCCCTGGGGCATCACCCCAGCACCCCCTGGCCATGGCAGGTCGGCTCCTGCCCTCGGACACCAACCAGGCTCTGGGTGTCCAGGACGTCCCCTCCCTCCACCCACCCCTGCAGGCACCCCCCCAGCACACGGTGACACGGGTGAGTGGGGCCGGGGGCTGCTGCACACGGGGGATTTTGGGGGGGGTTTCTCCCTCTGTCCCTCCCTTTGCCCCCCTGACCCCAGCCCAGCCCCTCCTTGTGCCGCAGGTGCCCGTCATCCGCCACCGCGGCTCCAACACCCTCAACTTCCACTTCCACGACCCGGAGCCCAAGAGCTCGGAGCCCAAGAACTCAGGTATGGCCCTGAGCACCCCCAGGGACGCCCCCACGGGCTCCCCCCCAGCAATACCCTCCCGAGTGATGCCCCCCCTGAGCCATGCCCACCTTGTCCCCAGTGAATGAGTGGTATCAGACCTGGCCGGCCAAGGAGGTGAAAGCCCCCAACACCCCAGTGCCCGCCGGCCCCACGCCCACCCCCAGGGCCGCCCCCGCCCGCCCGTGCCCCCCGGGCTGGTCGGCCACCTGGACCAAGGACAGCAAGCGGCGGGAGCGGCGCTGGGTGAAGTACGACGGCATCGGGCCCGTGGATGAGACGGGGATGCCCATCGCCTCCCGCTCGGTGAGTCGGGGCACAGGGCCGGGCTGGCACCCCCCTGTTGTCCCCTCACCACCACCCCAACGTGTCCCCGCAGAGCGTCGACAGCCCCCGGGACTGGTACCGCAGCATGTTCCGGCAGATCCACCGCAAGCTGCCAGGTGAGCCCTGATGTGCAAGCATTTCACTGCGTGGCACATCATGGCACATCATGGCACATCATGAGACCCTGCTTACCCCCTCCGTCCTCAGAGCCCGACTGGGACACCCACCCCTGCCCTGCCACGGCGCCTCCATCGCCCCCCAAACCGCGCAGGAGGGGCTCGGCACCGGCTGAGCCCCCCGGGATGCCCAACGGGATGGACTGGTGAGTGTGGCAGGGGGATGTGGGTGAGTGTGGCACGGGGATGTGGGTGAGTGTGGCACGGGGATGTGGGTGAGTGTGGTGCAGGGATGTGGGTGAGTGTGGCACGGGGATGTGGGTGAGTGTGGCACAGGGATGTGGGTGAGTGTGCCACAGGGATGTGGGTGAGTGTGCCACAGGGATGTGGGTGCCCATGGGGTGGGGGTCTGCGGGGGCTGAGCCCCCTCCTGCCTCCCCTCAGGACACGCTGGGGTGCCACCGGTGCCACCGCAGAGCCCGGCAGCATTTTTGACTATGAACCGGGGAAATTCTCGCCGCTGGAGCAGGTAGGGAGGTCCTGGCAGGGAGGGATTTTGGTGGGCACCGTGGTGGGCACACACCTAACTGGCCCCTTGCCCTTCCAGCCCCCAGCAGCGGCACGGCGGGCCCAGTCCATCGAGGTGAGGTGGTGGTGGCGGGCAGGGGGCTGGGGGTGGCAGGGGGGGTTCTGGTGGCCACGGGCAGTGCCAGCCTGGCCCGCCACAGCCCCATCCTGCCCGTGCAGGTGCTGCTGGAGCAGGAGCTGGAGCAACTCAGCGAGGAGCTGGACAAGGACATGAGGAACATGGAGACGCGCCGGACCCCCCGCCAGGTACCCCGGACCCCCTGTCAGCTGCCCCTTGTCCCCTCCCCAGCAGGGCTGATGGGGTGTGCATCCATCCAGCTGTGGGCACACCCAGCTGTGGGCACATCCAGCTGTGGGCACATCCAGCTGTGGGCACGGCCTTTGTGCAAAGCTGATGGTTGGACGCAGGGCTGGATGTGTGCACATCTGGATGCATGCATGGCTGGGTGAGTGCATGGCCGGATTCATGCACATCTGGATGCATGCATGGCTGGGAGCATCCCTGCATGACTGCGTGAATGCACAGCTGGGTGCCTGCACATCTGGATGAACGCACGCCCAGCTGGGTGTGTGCACAGCTCGGTGCCCGCCCGGCCGGCCCCACGCACATCTGGGCCCGTGCACATCTGGTTCCACGCACGGCTCCTCGGCGGCCCCGAGCCGCGGGACTCTAGGACCCAGCCCGTCCGTCTGTCCGGCGGTTATTGGCGCAGCCGGGCTGGACTCCTTCGCTTCCCGCCGAGACTCGGCCTCCTGGATGATTAATTTTTCTCTCCCACCCCCTCCCGCTCCTCCCGGCAGAGCCCGGCGGCTGCTCCCACCGCTCGCTCCCCTGCTCCGGCCTCCCCGGCTGCTCGGTGAGTTCCGCGGCTGCTCCCGCGCCCCGGACCCCCAAATCCCCCTGCCCGGACCCCACTCGAGGTGGGGGGCAGGACCCCACTCCGAGGGTGGCAAATGGGCTGTCCCTCCAGCGTCGCGGCGGGGTGGGAGCCTCCAGACATCCCCCTTGGGATGGATCCCCACGGACCCCCCGTGGCAGTTCTGGTCCCCTCGTCCCCCCCACGCCCCAGCACGGGTGGGGGCCCCGGCGCCGGGCCGGCTGCCCGGTGGGTGGGACGGGGCCGGAGCGGGGCTGACCCTTTCCCCCGTCCCCGGGACGCCGTGTCCCGGCGTTTGGCTCCGTCCCAGGGGAGGTGACGGCGGCCGGATTCCCACCGCCGTGTCCCCGCGTCCCCACGGGCACAGGGAGGGGACAGCTGTGCCGGAGGGTGCCGGGGCACCCCCGGGTGGGGTCGGTACCCTGAGACGTGCTGGGCACCCCGGGGGTGTCCCCACGGAGCCGTCTCAGCCCCGGCAGCGGGAGGAAAACAAACAAACAGCAGCTCCACTTCTTGTAGGACCTGCCGTAACCCCCAGGGGCGCACAGGGGGAGTGGCCGCCCGCTCCCCAACCCCTCCCCTGGCCTGGGGGGGGCATCTGGGGCTCTTTAAGTGCCCCCCGCAGTGGGGTTATCCATTAGCCAGGCCGCCCTCCCCGGCGCTCGCCTGCTCGGTGCTTCCTGCTCAGCACCAGCAGGGACGTGCTGCTGGCTCTGCTGGAAAACTTTGGACCTGTCCCGCTTGGCTGCATCTGGGATGGGATCCTGGAGGGATGCACACAGGACACCAGGTGTCCTGGTTCTGGGGGACCCCAGCGTCCTGGTATTGGGGTACCCAGGGGTTCTGGTCCGTGGAACTCAGGGATCCTGGTCATGGGGGACTCAAGGATCCTGGTTTTTGGGGACCCAAGGATCCTGCTCCTGGGGAACTTGGGCATCCTGGTACCTCTGTTTTGGGGTACCAGGGGTTCTGGTCCATGGAACTCATGGATCCTGCTCCTGGGGTACCCTGGTATTCTGGTCCATGTGACCCAGGGGTCCTGATCCACGGGATACAGGGGTCCTGGGGGACCCTGATATCCTCATCCATGGGACCCAGGGGTCCTGATCCGTGGGACACACAGGTCCTGGATGTCCCTGACATCCTGGTCTGTGGGACTCAGGGGTCCTGCCCCCCGAGGACAGCAGGGTTGGGGCAGGGAGGGTTCATGGCAGCAGGGCTGGGTGTGAGCCCTGAGCCCCTGTGACCCCACAGGAGCCCCCTGTCACCCCACCCACTGCGGAGCCCCCCCGGCACCCAGCGCTCCCCCGCCAGCCCCGGCATGGAGCGGGGTGTCCTGGGGCTGGCCAGTGACCGGAGCCGTGCAGCCCCTGGCAGAGGTGAGCCCCCCTGAGCCCCCCCGGACCCTCCCCAAGCCGTGGGGCACCCCATGCCCCCACCAGCTGGTGACACCCCTCTCTTTGCAGACACCCTCAGGCCAGAGACCCTCCCCAGCCTGCCCGACCTGGGAGATCCCACCGAGACCGTCAGGAGGGAGGAGAAGAAGGTGAGGCTGGGATGGGCCCATCCCCTGTGGGGTTTGGGATGGCTGGGATGGGGGGGGTCTCCCTGTAACCACTCCTCTCCCTCCCCAGATGAAAGCTGCTCGCCTCAAGTTCAACTTCCAAGCCGAGTCTCCCAAGTAAGTGCTGGTGCTGCTGGGGGGGGGTCACTCCTGGGGTCCCCCCAAGCCCCACGATGTGGGGTGGCCCTGCCAGCCAGGCTGGGGAGGGGTCAGTGTCCCCCCAGACAGGTGTGAGCACTGTCCCCTGCAGGGAGCTGACGCTGCAGAAGGGGGACATCGTCTACATCCACAAGGAGGTGGACAGGAACTGGCTGGAGGGGGAGCACCACGGCCGTGTGGGCATCTTCCCCTCCAACTACGTGGAGGTGAGCCCGGGGGGGCGGAGGGGGGGCAGCAGGGCTGGGGGAACCTGGCACTGCCCCTCACCCCCGTGTCCCACCCAGATCCTGCCCCCCACGGAGGTGCCCAAGCCCATCAAGGCGCCCACCATCCAGGTGCTGGAGCACGGCGAGGCGCTGGCGCTCTACAACTTCCGAGGGGAGCTGCACGTCGAGCTCTCCTTCCGCAAGGTGCCCGCCGTGCCTCCCCCCTGCCACTCCGGGCTGTTTCCCAGCCATCCCGCGCTGACCCCACCTCTCCTCCCTGCTGCAGGGCGAGCGGATCTGCCTCGTGCGGCGGGTGGACGAGAACTGGTACGAGGGGCGGATCTCGGGCACCAGCCGCCAGGGCATCTTCCCCGCCACCTACGTCCAGGTGCTGAAGGAGCCGCGGGTCAAGGCCACCGCCGAGGACATCCCCCCCTCGCCCACCCCCGCCATGTCCCCGTCCCTGCAGCGCTCGCCCGCTCCCCGCGTCCCCCAGAACCCCGCCGGCTCCCCCCGGGCGGTGGAGCCACGTCCTGGGGTCACGGGTGGGCACCTCGGCGTCGCCTTCCCCGCCTCCCCGAAGCTGCCCCACTCTGGCACCCCCAGCCCTTCGCTGGCCTCCGCCAGCCCCCCCCAGCCTGCGGCCGCCCACCCCCACCAGGAGCCCCGGCGTCCAGCCTGGGCCCCCGAGCAGGTGAGTGCCCCCCCGCCCTGGCATCGTGCCCCCCGCCCTGGGCGACACCCCGAACGCTGCACCCACCCTCTCTCTGCCCCCGCAGCGTGCGACCCCGGGGATACCCACCAGCGCCCGCCCCGAGCCCGCCCCGTCCTACAACGGCTCCGAAATCCGGTGGACCCCGTAAGTAGGGCCGGGAGCGTCCCCGCCGCGCCGTGTCCCCCCCTCCCCGTGTGGGGGGTGGGCTCTGGCCACGCCGTGTCTCGCAGGTACCGGGCGCTCTACCAGTACCGGCCCCAAAACGCCGACGAGCTGGAGCTGCTGGAGGGGGACCGCGTGGACGTCATGCAGCAGTGCGACGACGGCTGGTTCGTGGGTGCGTGCCCGCCGGGACGGGGGCAGGGAGGAGGGACAATGTGCCGCCGCGACCCCTCACCGCCTCCCCTTGCCTTTGTCCCCCCCCGCAGGCGTGTCCAGGAGGACGCAGAAATTCGGCACTTTCCCCGGGAATTACGTGGCGCCGGTGTGACCCGCGGCCACGGCGGGGGACGCGAGGGCTGGGGCCGGGGGGCGCGCCCCGCTGCCCCGCCTCGGCCACGCCGTGTCCCCGCAGTGTCCCCTCCGCGGGGATGAAGCGCCTCCAGCTCCCTCCCGCCCCTATGGGGCTGCCTCTAACAGGGACAAATCCCCCCGGCGCGGGGGGTCTCCCCCACCCCAGTGCCTTAACACGCCCCTTCCTCACCGCTGCCCGGTGCCCGCCGCCCCTGGGGTCGCCCCGGGGGTCCGCCGGTGCCGGGCCTGACCATGACGGCCGCGACCCGGGATGTGGGTCGGCGTCCGGGAGTCGCCTTTGCTTCTCGTCCATCATTAAAGCTCAGCTCAGCCCGAGTCGGGGCGTGCCGGGATTCGGGAGGGGCCGGCGGGGCGGGGGGGTCCCACAGGACGCCGCGCGGGGGCCGCGGGGATCCCCCCACGCCCACGGGCGGTGCCGGGGCGGGACCAGCCGCCGCCGTGCGCCCCGTCGGGGCGGGGGGGCCGTGCCCGCAGCCCGCCCCGGCCCGGCCCGGCCCGGCTCCTCCCGAGGAGGCGGCGCCGTCCCGGGGCCGCGCTCGGCTCCGCAGCCCCGCGGGGCCGCCCGGCTCGGCCGCCCCGGTGAGTGCGGGGGGTACCGGCGGTGCGGGGGGCACGGGGGGCGCGGGGGGCACCGCGGGGTGCGGGGGGACCGGCGAGCGCCCGCTGCGGTTGTTGGGGATGCCCTTCCTTCGGGGGTCGCGGTGCCCGGGGGTCCCGCGGATGCTGCTCCGCCGCGCAGGGGAGGGGGGCTGCGGACAGCCTGTCCCCCCACATCCCCAGGTGTTCACGTCCCCCAAATCCCAGTGTCCCCATAGCTCAAATCCCCACGTCCCCGTGTCCCCACGTCCCCGCGCCTCCTCTGGCATCGCCCGTCCCCGCTGCTCGCCCCGCGGGTGCCAGGCGGCACCGCCAGTCGCCGCGGGCACAAAGACGTCGCTGTGCGAGGGGGACAGAGCCGGGAGGGAGTGGGGACACAGGTGGGGTGCGGGGGACCGAGAGGGGAGCGGGGGACAGAGGAGGGGAGCAGGGGATGGAGAAGGGGTGCGGGACAAAAAGGAGGGGTGCAGGGGCTGGAGAAGAGGTGCAGGACCCTTCGGGGGTCTGGGGTTGGTGCCCAGCCGGGTGTGGGGGTCCCCAGTCAGGCAGCCGTCGCTGCCCAGGGATGCTGAGCAGGGCCGGGCATGGGGAGGGGGTTTGGGGTTTGGGGTTTCCTCCCGGCACTGGAAGCCCAGCCCAGGAAATTCTTCCGGGCAGCCTCTCAAGCCCCTCTTTGTGCGCTTGGGATTTTTAACATGCCTTCCCGGCGGCTGCGGACGAGGTGCCCGGTTCCGGATGGGATGCCCGGTTCCAGACGCGATATTCAGCTCTCCCCGGGCTCTGCAGAGCTCGGCCAGGCTGTGGTGGGATGGGATGGGATCTGGTGTAGATTTAGGGGATGGGGCTCTCTGTTCCCACCCATCCCCTCAAAACCAGGAGCTGCTACTCTCCCTGGGGTGCCATGGGACACCCCCGGGGGATACTCAGCACCCTTTACTGGTCTGGATTGGCTGCAGGATGAAGGACTCGGGGTGGTGGTCCTTGCCGGGTGCCAGACCCCCCCGTGGTGAGCAGCGGGATCACCACATCCTCCCCTCCAAACCCCGCTGGCTTGGCCCTGCCGTGCTGCGGGATTGGCCTTGCTGCCAAGGCGTCGCTGATTCCCTGCCTCGCTCCAGCCCCTGGGAACGACCTTGGCTGCCTCAGCTGCGCCAACGGCTGCCTGGGACCCCCGTGCTCCGGGGGGAGGAAGCCACCAGCCTTGGGGCAGCAAGAGGAAGCGGCGGTGGCTGCTGACACCCCGCAGGGACGTGGGTCCCCTCCCCGGAAGGAAAGCGCTGCCGGTTTCCATCACCCCCTGCTCGGGGTGCAGCCGGGACAAGGAGGCTCCCGTTGGGTGGGCTGTGGGTCAGAGGAGGGGGGTTCCCTCTGCCTGGGTGCTTGGGATCCCTGACAGCGCCCTCCTGCCCGCCCAGAGCCACCCGCTGCCATGCCAGTGACCGTGACCCTGCCCGGCCCGGCCCCGTGGGGCTTCCGCATCTCCGGGGGACGAGATTTCGGGAAGCCCATCACTGTCTCCAAGGTAGGACCCCCCCCCACCCACCACCACCACGTGCCCCCCCGGGCCGGGGGAGGCCGCCGGGCGGGCGCCGTGCTGGGCTGCTCCGGGGAGAGGATCCTGTTTGCTTGTCCTTGGGGGATCCCGCTCCGTGGGAACGGCCCACGGCAGGCGACGGCGGCGCAGGGGCCCCGTGCCACCCCCGGGCTGGGCAGGGCCGTGCCAGGCTTCCGGGTGTTGTCTCCAGGGCCGTGCTCCCACCCTGGCGGAGGGTCTGGTGCTGTTCTTGTCCAGGCCGTGGGGATTCCAGAGGGTGGGAGCCACCGGGATGCAGGAGTAGACGCGGAGCTTGGCGCGAGGGCTGCGCGTGGGGGGTGCGTGTTGGGGGTCACTGGGGCTGTCCCCACGTCCCCCTTCTTCTCCACGGAGGTGACGGAGCACGGGAAGGCGGCCGCGGGTGATCTCCGGGCGGGGGATGTCATTGTCACCATCAACGGGGAGAGCACGGCCGAGATGCTGCACGTGGAGGCCCAGAACAAGATCAAGCAGAGCCCTGGGCAGCTCCGGCTGGAGGTGGAGAGGTGGGTGCTGAGGGGGGTGGGCAGCCCCGAGCCCCGGAGCTGGAGCTGGGTGCCAGGGGTGTCCCCATGTGGGTTGGGGTCCCCAGCCAAGTGTGTGCTGGTTGTTCTTCCCCTCGGGCGACTCCTGGGGCTGTGCCATCCCCCCCCTCCCCCAGGAGCCTGGTCCGGCTCTCTAATTAAGGAGTCAGGTGCTAACGAGGCCATGCAGCGCTGGCAGCCATTCCCTGGCCGACTGGTCCCAGTTGGGGGCCCAGTTGGTGCCTCTCCCCACCTTCTGGAGGGGCTGGGAGGAGCGTTCAGGCCGTGCTGTGCTGTGCCATGAGCAGGGGCTGAGCGCTCCTGGGGCACATTCCAGACCCTCCCTGCTCTCCCTTGGACCCCAGGTCCCTGATGCCACCTCCCAGCCATGCCAACGGGGATACCTCACTGGAAAGGTTGGCCACACGTGTCCAGGTGAGCCCCAGTACACCCTGTCCCCCCACCCAGGGCTGGTGGCAGCTGCTGGTGTCACCCTCCCCTCCCCAGGACACGCTGCGGACACGGGATGAGAGCCAGGGCGCCCTGAGAGCCCCTGACCCCAGCCTGGCATCCCCCATCCACCTGCCCCACAGTGCCAGGTAAGGCTGGACCCTGCTGTGTGTGGGGCTGGGGGGTGGGCAGGGAGCTGGGGAGGGCCTGGGACCCCCCTGATGGCTCCATTCTCTCCCCACAGCTCCCAGCCCCTGGAGGAGGAGTTCACCTGTCCCGGCCTCTGCCAGGTGAGTGGGGAGCTGGGGGGCTGCAGGGGGGCAGGCAGAGGTGCTGGGGGGGGCATCTGTGAACCATCAGCTTTTGTGACACTAAACCTTCCCCCTTTTCAGCCCCAAACCACCCTCCTTGCACACCCAAGCCATGCCCTTTGACCCCAAAACCACTCCTCTTTGCACACCCAAGCCATGCCCTTTGAGCCCTGAAATCATCACCCTTTGAGCCCCAAAACCACTCCCCTTTGCAAACCCAAGGCACCCCACTTTAAACCCCCAAACCATTGCCCTTTGAGCCCCCAAACCATCCCACTTTTGAGCCCCAAATCACCCCCTTTGGACCCCCAAACCATCCCCCTTTGCAAACCCAAACCATCCCACTTTTGAGCCCCAAATCACCCCCTTTGAGCCCCCAACCACCCCCCTTTGCAGCCCCCTGGCCACATCACTGCCCAGCCCTGCTCTCCCTCGGGCACAGCCAGTGCCCCCTCCCCTCTGGTGCCCCCTCCCCGTCGCCCTGGCAGCACCCCCAGACCCGCGGGCACCGGCACCTGCCCAGGGATGTTTTGCTCCTCTTGGCAGCGGCGCCAGCCTGGGGAGGCCAAACCAGTTTGGGGAGGCCCAGCCCCACTCCCGCCAGCCCGGGGCACTGGGGTGTTGGCCGGGCAGGGACCCACGGCCCGGCGCACCCCCGGCCCGGTGGGATGCCCCGGGAGCGGGGCCGGGATGCCCGGGGGCTGGATGCCTCCTCCTCCTCCACCCCCTGGATCAGCCGCAGGATGCCCGTGGCCGCCCCGTCCATCCCCGCGGGCAGCCGCTGGCTCCGGGCTTGGCGTCTCCCTCCTCTGCTCCCCTCCCTGCTTTCTCTTTTTCTTGTTTTCCAAGCCCAAATTGGGAAGCGCCGTGGTCCCGGAGCGCGGCCCTTCCCGGCTGCCTTTGGCCGCAGCCCCGGCCGCCCCTTGGCTCCTCCGGCCGCCCCTTGGCTCCTCCGGCCGCCCGCTCCCTCCTTCCTCCCCAGCTCCCTGTTTGCTTTGGCCCCGGAGGGTCCCTCCCTGCCCCAGATGGTCCTTCCCTGTCCCTGAGTGTCCCTCCCTGCCCGGAGCCCCCCACCACGGGGCCGTGAAGATGCTCAAAGGGGAGCCAGGGGGAAGGGCTGCCCGTGGATCCCGAACTTCCCCCCATCCCAGGGTGGGTTGGCGCTGGATCCCGGCGGGGACGAGGCCAAGGCGGCCGGCTCCTCCCGCGCCTAATTTTAGCTCGTCCCTCATCTCCTCGTGACCCCACAGAACCCCGGGGCTGCTCCCCTCTCCCTCTCCATGAATCCGGGTGGGGGTGGATCCCTGTCCCCGTCCCGGGGTCCCCCTGGGGTTCCCATCTGCGTGGCAGCCGCTCCCGGGAACATCAGCTTCCACTTATCCAGGGTTCCTCTTTCCTGCCTCGCCGGGCCCGCTAAGCAGGAGCAGATGGTGGGGAGGGGACGGGCGCAGGCGCAGGGGTTATGGGGTGGGGGTGCTGCCCTGGCCCCCCTGGGGGTCCTGCTGACCCCAGCTGGGCTCAGAGAGGAGAAGCAGCTGCCCCACGGAGCATCCCTGCATCCTCCAGAGACAAGGGCTCGAGAAAAGCCCCTCTGGGCCTGGTCCAAGTGCCCCCAGGATCCCCGGAGGGAGAGGGAAGGTCTGTGGGCACCCTGCCAGGGAGCTCAGGCCGCTTTGGGGGCCACCCCAGCCTGACCCCTTGTGCCCTCCCATCACCTCTCTCCCCCTGCCAGGAGCGAGGAATCCTGACCCACCAGAACAGCTGCCAGGGGTCCATCCTGCCTCCACCCCCCTGCCCACCCTCACCGGGGTTTGGAGCCCCCCAAAACCCCTGGGAGACACACAGGGAGCGTCGCCCTTC